CTTGAGAAACTGATCGTCACTAACCCAATCAAAAATTCTCGTCAAATTAATAGGAAGAGTAGGTCCATTACTGTGTTCAAAATATTCCGCAAGTTTTACCTAGGAAATCCACATGTTTACAGATTTTTCCTTCAGATTCATTTTAATATTATACTGTCACGCCTTGGTCTCCAACGTTGGCTGCCTTTCAAGCTCTGTGACTACAAATTTCTGTATATTTATCATCTTTCCCAACTTATGTTGCAATATTTAGAAAGCATTAGTTTTTTGTTAATTTATATTACAGTGGGCTCGCTGTCACCTGGAAATTAAGACGAACTTTGAAAGTTCACGTAAACTAACTGTAACGTTAGATCTGCTGTTCTGGATCCAACATAGGTCTACAAATTCGTTATCTCGCGAGCGTATAATAACAGGCGTCTCTTGTTTCTGTCGTAGATATTTCTAGAAATTACTTCATTAATGAAGAGGGCAGTGATATCGTATCATCCAGAACTTATCATTTCATTAATTTTTTCTCTTGTGGTGCTAGGACTTATCTGTTCCCTGGATCATTTGGAATTAAAGTATTAGGAAGGTCTGACGTTGTAAGGCATATCGGAGTAACACTTTCGTGTATTTCAGAAACTCGGTACCCGTGCAGTTGACTTGACTGACTGCAAACAAAGAATTTATTTCGGTAAGGAACGCGTCCCATAACTAACTCACTGATGGTGCAACTAAGTTTCGACACCTTTGATACATCGCCTTATCGTCGTGACCGACTTCGTTAAGATTTATTTTAATATTATTCTCCAGCCTGCTTCTCCTTCTTTCAAGTGACCACTTTATGTGTTTTATTCTATGCCAAAATTCTGTGAGCTTTTGTTGTATCCGCATCTAGATCAGCATATTATCCCTGATTTGAGTGATATGTCTTGGCGATTAAAGTAATTCACGGTTTTGCTATTAAACGTCATATCATCCACTTCCACTCTTTGCATGTAGCACCGTTTCCATGGACACCCTGTTCCAGAAATTGGGACTCGTTCACCTCGTGAGGACAATGTCTGACTGACCCGAGTGTTTGCGTGCACATAATAATGATCATGTTGACGACGAAGATTATGATAATTTTAATCATTTGCTGTGAAGTTAATATTAGAGATATCTTAGTGAATACGTAGGCCTATGTGGGGAGTGAAGTTTGGAAATATAACTGACCGATACCCCCCCAGTGAAAATAAACTACAATAAAATTATTCAAGAAAATCTTCTCGGGATATCAGCCGCGTTAACTGGTTACCGTAGTAAACTGACGTTTCGGGAACCAACTCTGTCCTCATCAGCAGGGTTCTGATGTGACTGGATACCTCGGAAGTCGCCAGGCGCACACACGCACAACGCTGAGCACAAGAGAGAGAGAGAGTCAGCAGAACTCGTTAAGGGACACAGCCTCTTGATATACGGGTTGCATCTTTTTCTTTGTAACGCAGCAGTGTTCAAGTTTCATATCGCCAGTTCGGTCCAATCTCTTCTATGTTTCCATGCACCTAATCGACTGTCTCTCACCTCAAAACAATATGGCTGCCTACTTTTTATTCCGACTCTCTCCTTAATTTCATGTCTGTCTCTTTGCGTGTCTGTATATATGTTTATCTGCGTATCTTTCTATCTATCTGCTTATCTGTTTACCTATTTATCCGTCAGTTTGTGTATTTATGACTCTCTCTCTTTTGTTTTTCACTAAAAACAGCAACAAAACAACAGTTTATATCTTAAAATGTGTTCTTTGCAACTAGACATCGTCTCTCATTTATCATTTCTGATATTTATATATTTCACATACAGGCCTGTTGTTGACACAGATAACAGCATTATAGATTCTATTGCAGCAGTCATGAAAGCTCTCCTACTGGATCTCTTCCGAAGGCAGGTGACTGCAGTAGGAGCTGCTGTAGCCCGTTTTCCGAATACCTTTTTTTTTCTGAGGTCGTTCCTTGCACTGAAGCGATGAAATTCCCTTCGCCAGTTGCCTTCGCCATGCTTGTCCGTCCGTCCGTCCGCACGTAATTCGAGAACCTCTGATCGGATTTTCGTTACATCTAATATCGAGATATTTTACTAAGTGTTGTCGACTCACTTCGATGTGGGTTAGAAGTGGATTATAACGTGCGCTTTACACTGTAATAACGTGGTTGAGACTTGCCAGATGGTGTAATCTTAGCGCGGAGCGACAAGCTACTTTTATCCTCACTTCCACAACCCACGTTTGAGGACCGCTGTGTGCCATTGTTCGCGACTACTTATCTAAGACATTGATAGCCTAGTTCTGTTTGTGGATTCTGTATCTGAGAAAGCACTGTATCGTGGCAACAAATAGTCGCAGAGATATTGTTTTTGTGTTTGACTAAACAATTTACATGAAAGCTGTATATATTAAAAGCGGTAATTTGCATGTAAAAAACACAGTTCTTTGTTCGATACTACATTTCTGTGAAATGCCAAGAAGCTCTGTTTGATTTTCATGCAAATCAGCCACTTTTGTGCTGGTAGTTAGCCAACATAGACGGAAATTAAAGTAGCCAATCAAGTCATGTTTAATTGACATCTGTTAACCAAGTGATTTTGGAGACGCGGAGAGTCTGTACACTGTGAAGTAGGAAGGACCACGTCGGCCTTAATGAAGGGCGGTAGGCGAACGTCTTCAGCTGCAGGTGGTAGTGACTTCGTTAAAGGGAGTCTTGTACGTCGTCTAAGAGACGACGCTTCTAGGGCGATGGGTGTTGTAATTCCTGGCTTCAGGGTTATGACAGAATCGTGGGTGCTATGAGAAATTCAGAGAAACTTATCGCCTCCAGGGTTTCCCAGAAGGTGAGGCCGGTACGTTCCTGTGAAATGTTGGTAACCACCTACAAGTATACACGGCATCATAACCAGGAAGGTCCCAGTAAACTTATAAACTGTGATCGAAAAGTCACGCAACTCTGACATGTTCTGATTGTGTTTCTGCAGTGACCGGAAGCTGTTAAAAGACGACATAGTTTCCATCTGCTTAGCTCATTTGAGATTTTCTATGCATGAACTTCATTAGCGTCTTCTCTTGAAGATAGGCTACTGGTACATAATTTTCCATTACATGGTAAGAAATAGTGCTGATGTTGATAACCAGAACTTTTGGGACACTTCGCACTTCGGACTGTCGTCTGTAGACCGACTGTGGAAATTGGTTACCCAAAGTACCCTCTTCTTCGCTTGGTGCTTGCAAATGTCAGCAGACTGAACCTCAGGACAATTTGGCATAAAACTGCTGACTCGTGCAGTCGCTTGGTTGTACACGACGTCACCAGTGTTGAAAGTTGTACTTACAACACTTGGGTTATTTTGTCAAAACTAATGTAAGTTATGGCTGCAGATTATTTCTGGAAACGTACGTACATTTCGCTAGAGTTGTGCTAATGAACACTTTTATTTATAAAGCTTCACGAGCAGAATGCAAATGCACCGCTCTTTCTTCTGCAGTTGTAACTTAATGTACCATTTATTTCATATTCATAATTTTGCTCGCAGAGTTTATTGTCTTGTGTGATTAAGAAATTTATCAGCGATTACTTCCCTAAAGAGCATTAACCAATATCTTTATAATGAGACACGTTGTGTTTTCTTTGAAGTACGAGTTTAATTTCTTGTTGTTATTTAGACTTACTTCATGATTCAGAGGTTTGAAATCTCGCACTTCTCTTTCAGGAGAAAGAGGGTGTGAACAGATTATCGCTTGATCAGATATTCATCTCATTTTACCGTCATTATTCAGTTTCCAGGTCCTGAACGGATGTCAGAGACGTTCGAGAATGCTACCTGTGTCCTGTTTTCAGCGGTAAGTTGTTACTTGTTGAATTAACATCTGATATAAGGCTCTCATTCAATGGTATATGACACCAAATTAACATTATTATGATGATAATGGCGAAATAGCACGTGCAGTATATTTTATAAAACAGCGGTAGGCTTAATAGAACCCGTTTGTTACGATATAAATTGGTATAAACAGAAATAAAAATCAAGGGGGTTGCATTTTATATAAAGTACACACGCAAATTCAACATTTATTCTCAGGTACTTATCCCAAGCTGTTGAATCAAACACATCTGTAATGTAAAATAGTAGCAGTTAAGTTTTTTTTAGAGTGTTTGCCAACGGCCAAGAGCCCATAAACGGCAAAGAGTAATAAAAGTTAATAGTTATGAAAAAATCAAAAAAAAATCATTAGCAAGAGCCAGATACATACAATCAGTCTAAACATCTAGTATCGGGACCAGAGGACGCATTGTTTTTGCTGAAAATTCCCAAAAATTTGCGTATGTCGTTTGCAGTAGTGAGTTAACTTAAGATTCATGGATTAGTCATACTGAAACGAAAAAAATATCTTATTTTTTCTTCGAGGCGCACGAATACCAAATGGTGCCCATGATAGAGTGGGAATTTATTTTGCCCTTGAAAACATTAATAAGAACAAAGCCTGGAGATGTCTTTTGGAGGAAACTGTTCTGAAATTTAAACAGTTCAATATTAAGTAAGATTTGAGGTTTTCATGGCTGTGGCTCCCAAGATGGATGCCTTCTGGTTTGCAGCGCCGTGTACTCTGATAGAAGATTAGAAACGTTGCAGAGGTCCCTGCCGCCTCTACTATCAGTTTAGTATTAAATCATAATTTTGTAAAATATCAAACTGAACGAGCGATAATAATACAAATTGGTAGAAAATTATTATATGAAGCTCATCTAAGGAAAGACCATCGAAAGCCTGGATAAGATCAAAATGAACAGAGACGAACTCATGAAATGACTGAAGTAGTAACAGCAGATTTTGGTCCAAGAAGACCACGCTGTCGTGCTACAGACAACAACAATAGCATTAACAATACGATAATCGTGCTGTAGCGCGGGGAGGGTCGGTGGTCGAGGTAATAATGTCCCGTTGGCGGGCGGTTTCCAGCTGTGCTCAGTTCCGTCCCTCGCCCTGCTCTGTTTTCGTCGGCTGCTAGTATTTCCTTGCAGCTCGTACGTAGACCCAGTACGCTTGCGTCGTAGCGTACAACCGCGGCCGGCGCTTACTTAAGAGGCGAAGGACAGAACGCTGAGGACCATTCTCCTGCGTGCGGCCCGTGTTCCGGAGTGTGGTGAGCGACTGGCTGACTGTCCCAACGCTGTCAAATGCAACCCCCTCGTCGTTAGTTTCGACTTTCTTCCTTCGATGTGCGGTGAACGTAGTTACCAGAACTTATGTGTGCCTGCACTGAATGTAATTGTACAGTGACTCAGTTGGAATTAATGTTAGTGTTGCCGGGGATTTTATGTGGAATCTACAGCTGTTTTTGGTGTTGCCATACTATGCCTCCGTGTTTAGATTACGTAATCAGTTTATCTCATCCTCTGTATATAAATTAACATGTTTAAAATCCGAACATTTATGGACTTTTGTCAGTCGGAGTTTGTCTGTTTGAGAGTTGGTGGATTTATTGGCGTATCGTCAGCGTTAATCGATGCTGCAGTTTATGGTGAAAAATCTAGTATATGATAGACTTTAACATCATATAGGATTTATCAGAATGTTAAACGATAACAAACATTGTCAACCGTTTGAATTAATTCTAAAGTAAAATGAATCTTGGGGAATTATTTATGCAGATATCCGAATGCCCGTAAAACGTGTAACTGATAGGCGTTTGCTGCGATGTTAGGTCCCAGTGCACTCCTCGCCGTTCCCCATAGCTGAAAATGGCATCGCTTCGTCTGCCCGACTCTGAGGAGTACCAGTTTGAAAACCGGCGGCGTACCGGCAGTACCGATTCGTCCAGTAACACTTTGCACTTGTCCGCTAGATCGCAGGAGTACCGCCAGTTGGTATGGAATGTAAGTAACCGACGTATAATTAGTGAAGATGGAACGAAATTGGTGGACTTCTTAGGAAACACGTGGCTAGACCTAGTTACGATGACCAATAGTAAGAATGGTTCTCTGAATGCTTTCCACGGCAGTGGGATAGACGGTTCAGTTCATGACGAGCCGGGAAGTGGTTTGAACGAAAGTATTCTGAATGCTACAGCGGCCAACGGCACGGACCCGATCCCGTTCTACAGACACTCCTTTGCAATGACGGCCATGTATTGTTTCGCCTACATCCTGGTGTTCGCGGTCGGCTTGGTCGGGAATTACTTTGTAATCGCCGTAGTCTATCGGTCGCCACGCATGAGGACAGTGACGAACTTCTTCATCGTTAACCTGGCTGTTGCAGACATCCTGGTGATTATCTTCTGTCTACCTGCTACCCTCCTGTCCAACATATTTGTCCGTAAGTATGCGACACACTGATTTCGTTATTAATGTAAATAACTTCTTTTTCAGTGCAGGAATCGGTATTTATTTTCAGGAAAACGCATCACGCATGGTCCGTATCCCGGCTCAAAGTGTAACGTGGACGGTCAGGAATGTAATAATTAGGCTCAGTACTTGATATATCGCGAGTAAATGCTGTACTAAATAGGATTAGGCCTATCAGATTTGTAACAGCCACCTTGTGATTCAGTGCGTTGTTTGTTTCAAACTAGAAATTGTTAATATTTACGAAAAGCCCAAATCTTGCCGCGGTCGTAATTTTTATTTTATTTGAGAAAAGAACTGTACACTGGTTGCAGAGAGAATGGTCGTAAATGAGAAACAATGTAAACAAAAGACTGCTGAGCTAGAGGAGGAATCTGTTCATACAAAACCCACTCAAAAGATTAAACAAACAGTCGTTATAACTATATATAGGTATGTGTATGTTATACATCATAAAACAAGTTAGAACGTGAAACAGAATGATTTGAGCAGGCACTGCCAAAAGAGTGTTATTCGTATTGATTAAATCTGAGTGATACATGTTTCGCGTATTAGCTAAGGGAACACGACCGCCGCTGGGATATAATACGTTTCAGGAATAATTACGATTACTTGGTGAGAGACAATTCCTGTGATGTGTGGTTGGAAGCAGTGTCGTATTAATCTCATTAAGACTCGGTGCTGTAGATGAAAAACGTCTGAGTGTTTTACTGAATAGAACAAAGTGGCCTGGTTTGAACTGAATAAATGTATCGTTCCATATTAGACGAGTGCAAGTGAAATGTGTTTTGTCACAGGTAGAACTCTGCTTTTAAACCGCCCGGGGGTTAGAAAAAAAATGGAAAGTTTGCAAAAATTGAGTCAGATGAGTGGATGCGAAGATACAGCTTATCACCGTATCTCTAAAACCGGATAATGGCTGTGATCGCTTGAGATAGTCTTTGTCCCAAGCTGCACCGAGTGAGATGCAACCAACCCATTCTGTCAGGTCCCAGGGCGACTACCATTGTCTGTGTGTAAGACTGATAAACAGACGTTTGCAGGAAGCAGTTTAAGACTACAGTGCTATGACCTTGTGTACGCTACTAGTTGCTCACAGAATCAGGAAGGAGATAACTATACAGGTTGATTAGAAAGATTTTGGTACTCAAGAAAAGCGTAGTTTCTGACTGAGTTTTTATAGCTATCAAGTAACGAAGCAAAAACATTTAAAAGCGTCTAAGTCTGATACCAAAACCAGTTTTTGGCATATTTCTTTTTACTAAAATGGCGTATTTTATTTATCCATCTATAACGAAGTTTTATTATTATCGTGTTACGACTATGCTGTAGCTCAGACGGTTAGCCGCCGGCAGCTTGCTGTGAAATCCGGGTTTCGCGTCTAGAGGAGTCTTCGTGGGATTTGTAGTGAAAAAAGTTGTACTGCGACAGGATTTTATCAGATTCTTTGGTTTTCCCCTGTCAGTATCATCCCACCACCTGTCCATATTCACTCAAGCAGCCTAACTGCGTGATGGACAACGGGTCCCATTAGCGGTAACAGTTCAACAGCCTCTCGCCTCATCGCAGCAGAAACAAACTTAAGTCGTGGGAAGAATATCTCATCCTAGTCCATAAAGATCCATTTTAATATTATCCTGCCATCAATACCAACGTTTTCTCCCTTCCATTCAGAATTTCCGGCTAAAATACTGTATGCATGTCACATCTATTCCATGCGTGCTACATGTCCCGCCCACCTCATTCTCCCTCATACGGTCGCCATAATATTTGGCGAATGATATTCATTACTGTCTCATTTTTAAGGTTTTCAAGGCGGCAAACGTGTAGATTGTGGTTATTGTATTGGTCTTCAGCCTTGAAGGTGGGGGGGAGATAGGTTTGTCGTCAACGTTGATTCCAGAATACGGGACTGCACGGCCTCGCAACCAGGAAGACCACAATGGACAATATTCCGAACTGTAGTTGGCAGAGAACAAGAATTTGAATTTATGTCGGCGTGAAAGCCGGTCCCTGGGGGTAAAATAATGGATAGATCGCCGTACAGTTGACACAGAACGTATCGCTCAGGCTCACTGATGCTTTAGATGTTGATGACTGGCTTGTGAGATCTACTAACATGGTAGCCACTCCGTGGCCCAATGTCCCTCCTGAAAAGGTCGTGTATAATTTACGCTTAGGTACAAAAGAACTCCCCTCCTTTTATGAAATCTAAAATTTTATTTCTGTTATCAGAAGAGCCCGCTATCGTTCCGTGCCCTGATCCAATTTAAGCTCGTCAACACCCGAAACAAAATTTATCTCGCATGTAGTTTAATATTATTCACCCATCTACATCGAGATCTTCCAAACGGTCTCTTTCCTTTAGACTTGCCAAATACCTTTTTGTAGTCATTTGTCGTCCTCCGTGCGCGATACACGTGCCAACCGTTTTATAATCCTAATCCTATGTAATTCATTACTGTTACTGTCTTATGTCTAGTTGGTATTAATTTTTAAGTTTTCTACTTTAGGTTATCTGTTGTGTTTAAATACTTGTGCCTTATGGTTTTGTAATGTTATGAGTTGACTTATTTTGTGTGATGTGTGTTATTTTGTTGCGTCTTATTGTAACACCACTGCCACCGGGTATAAACCCATTTGCAGTTAATAATAAATAAATAAAATAAATAAATAAATATTTGGTACACAGAACAAATTACGAAGTTCCTCTAAGGTCCAGGCGTTATCTTAAGCATCGTGTTGTCAGAAGCACTCAGAGTGTCTCAGAAGGATCGTGAGTATGTTTGGATTTGCTCGCTTTATGGTCTCCGACACAGAAATTCCGAAACTTCGTTCCGGAACGGGTGCTATGGGACTTCGGTACGAACGTGACTCCTCTCCGACGAAAATTTAAAATGGATTTCCGGTCCAACATCATGGATGGCAAAGGTTTCGAATTCCTCCGGTTTGCCACGATCTTACACAGATTAATTCATTAATGAGTTATTTAATAATCTTATTTCGTGTAGTGAGTGGGTATGCAGTGCGTAGTTATTTCGCCGTATTAGTATTCTGGAGAGTCTATTACAATTGCCGTGTCCGTCCGAACGCGTTTATTGACTCAAGAATGGCTGAACGGATTTGTACGAGATTTTGAAACAAGTCGTCACGCTCCAGTTTGGGTTAAGAGCAGACAAATTAAGATTCTATCCGAGGACCTCGTGCATTGAGGTGTGTGCACTTTAAGTTCTGTAAGGCTTTCAGTGTTGGTTTTGGCCAAGCCACTGAAAAAGCCTTAAGAAACGCTGTCTTCTTATACTTCTCCAATTCACGGATTAGGTCGATGACCTGCTCAGGCTTCTGTGAAGTCCATCTTCTGTTTGGTCTTCCAATATCTCTTCTTTCTTAGGGTCTACAACAAAGGGACTGTTATAAGTCTCGCTAATTTTGAAGTTGCCGCGCATTCTTGCACTATCAGTATATCGATGTCGTTCAATGTCGTTAATATTAGTGCAGCTGCAAAATATTTATCGATAGTCTGCTCAGTGAGCACGGACTGCTAACGAAATATCCCGTAACATGCACACATGAGAAAGGAATTATGTAGTTCGCCGTTACAGCCTAAATCATATGTGGCAGTCGTCAATTACGCATCTCCCGTGCAAATAACAGGAGAATTGCAGGTTACGTTAACTCTATTTCCATTGTGAATTGTTGCAGGGCGATTCAGGGGCAGTCAGACAAACTTCGAGGGTAAAACAGTTTTTGAGTGAAGAGAGTTTCATTGACACGGGTCTAGTTTCAAAATTTAACGGGGGTCATGGTAGTTTCGACCGAATATAAGGAAGTACCAGGACGAACACTGCATTAAGAGATGTCAAGAGATGCCAGGATGATTTGGTTGACGATTCGGAAGTAAATGGGGGGGGGGGGGGGGACTGCTGTCCAGTAACGCATCTGAGAAACACGGAGTAAAGTCCAAGCAAATCCACAGAATTTCGTAATTTCAAGCACCGATACTTTCGATTCCACACGAAAATCAAGAAACGTTAATTAAATAATTAATTAATCATTTTAAAATATTTCGTAAGGGATATGCTTTGAAAGATATTTAGCATATGTTTAACTAGTATTTGTCTTTATTTCTTATTTTAATTATTACTTTGAACTATAAAGGCTTTAACACTACTGCTTAGTATTTAGGAGGCTTCGAAGACCAGCTATTCCGACTGGGATTTCCTCAGTCCGTCCAGGTAAATTCCGGGATTATTTATTATATTAGGCTACTACATTCCACTGGACCAAGGAATTATGTATGTATGTATGTATTGCTTACTGAAGTTACGTATACCGCCGGTATAGTAAAGACTGTAAATCATGCAGGTGTTTGATGCAACAGTAAATTAGCGCACAACGAGATTTTGAAGTGAATCATGAAACCGACAATCATGGCATCCCTTCGCTGCAGTCCACAGTAATGCAATGTCAGATTCACTTAATACAACCTTCCGTACACTGCGTCAGTAAAATGCGATAAAGCCGGACAGCTAAATCTTCAAGACAAAATTCATACGATCTGAGGTTCTCACGGCGTTGATGACGTCACTGATTTATTTTGGGTTGTGGCGCAATGTCGACGTACAGGTATAATACCAGCGTCTTTAGCCCTGATAAAAGGGATACAGTAAGTTTCTCCGAAACGTCGGTATCTTCCTGGAAGGCCACAGAGCGTCACAAATCATAACTACAACATAGACGTGCACTACATGATTTGAATGCGTACTGTCATCTTCAGATGGGACATATGCATATAGAATAAACACGGTTGATTTGGCGTGTTAACATATTCTTCATCGTAACGTATCTTACCACAGTGACACAACAGGGCGCACCAATTAAACTTATATTTTTGCTTTCGTTGGCCTCAGAAGAGGTATCTGTGAGTAGGAACGTAGTTGCTGAAACATGAGGAAAAATTGCGAATTAAAACTTTTTAACACTCCGTTTCTCTGATTCGTTTTTCGATATGTGTACATGTAGGTCTCTGTGCGTCAGAAGTTGTGTGTAGCATTTCAGGTATTGTGTACGAATACTAGGCATTTCATGCAATACCTGTAAAATTACGAACGGATTTTAATTGTATAATTTATTATTTTCTCGGGTACTTTTATAAATCCCACGTGCTCTGTGGAATGCAAAAAGTGATTTAGGTAAAGTGTTAACAGGGCGAATGCAACATAACCTAACATAACCTAACCTAACCTGAGTGGCATAATAGTCAGATAACGCGACCAAGATCTCTGGAACTGTTTAGCGCGCCCTGGAAAGGCTTTAAAGCGTCCGTACTTTACTTCTCCTTGTCGTTTCACGTATTTCATCTCAAACTTGAAGACAGATTAGGTACAAAGACACACACATATTCCTTCGTCCAGTGGTATGTCTGGGTGCACGCCACGCTGTCTAAACATGTTATATTATGCTTGTTTTTCAATTTATCGATAGCTCATTTCCTTCGCCGATTTGGGCTAGTTTACGTTCCTGAATGTTTGGAGCTAATGAAGACATTGCGAAATACTTACCAAGTGGTTTCTGTTCATGTCCAGACACTTTCAAATAAGTAGCATCGTTAATATCGTTCATTCAGGATATAATTTAAATTTGGAAATGCTATGAATTTTCGTCCCATTAAGGCAAAGATAGAACTCAAGGCGGATGGAATGTGGTAGTAGTTCAGAAGTTTGTTTGTACCAGATCCAATTTATCCGTAATTACTAGCTTAGGAGCGTTGTCGAATCTGTTGCGAGAGAAGTCTTATTGGCGTAAGAAAATTAAAACATCTCTTTAAAAACATTTTTTTCGAGTCGTGGAAGAAAGAGTATATCTCTTTAACGCATGTATTCACATCGCATTCTCGTCTATCGAAGTGAAAATGGTTTAAATCCAGAGGCTTCGAAGTGTTGAAAAATGCAGAATCGTTTTATTCTTCTGAAAATTTTGTAGGATTAGAATTGTCTTAGAAAGCTTGAATTTTTAGACTTGGTTCAATAAATACGGTTTCGCTTATCATTTTTGAAGCATTGAACAGCTGTCCTGTCACCAACAGAAATATACAGAGGACATACATGTATATTTATTTATTTATGTTCATATTAGCGGAATGTGGACAAAACTTAGCAAATTTGCAATAGGATTATTGTATGTTTAAAACTGAAATCGTGGGTATGTCGGTATGATGCCTTATACTTACAGAATGGATATACAAATTTGTCCCAGACTTGGTATTAGTTCCTCGAAACCAGGAAGTTATTGTCCTGTGTTCTGGGTCTAGACCCGGTGAGAATGGTTTATATATCTCGGAAACCAAGTACGATAGAGGAACGGCATCAGAGCAGAATTGTTTCTTTCCTCGAAAATATTACAGGAACAAGACCACAACCCCCAAAAACGAATCCTGGGTTCGATCTTTGGTGAATGTGTTTTGCTGTATACAGAAAAATAATTGCGGTGAATGGTTGTTTACAAATACACCAAAGGTGATAAGATAACAGCTGTAGTCCGAAAATATTTTTATTAGAAGAAATTACTTAAAAAAATTCTATTTAGGGACAAGACGTCAGAATAAAAATGTAAGAGATCATCACATTAAAAGAAATGCTTTATAAACATAATCTGCAAAATTGAAACTGTATTTATTACCAGAATACCAACAAATATTGTCTAACTGCCATTGTTTTATTTGAAGTGTTACAGTTACCTTTAAACTGTGTTTCGTTTTAGCAATCAATAATACTTGAAGTCGGTCTTTTTAAAGACTGACTGGCAATTGATTTAAGCCAGGAATTTTTTTCCTCGTGGACAGTCAGCCATATATTTGGTTCGCTCAGAACGTGATCTTCCAGAAGGCTTACAAATTCTAGAAGCGACCACAAAAATAATGTGCAACTACGAATTCTTATCATAAGAAAACGGCTGACTCTGGAAGACGAGGAACGGGTGTTACACAAGAATTACTCCTGGATATTTATAGGTTCTAAAGTTTAATTTAATAAATTAAATTGACGCGTCGGCGTTAAGTTACTTTCTTTCTCAGGTGGCCGCTATAACATGTTCGTAATTCAAACATAACTGGAAAGAAAGAGCCCAGCTATTATTTACATTCATACAGAAGTAACGAGTGAAATTGTGACGAATGTCTCTGATACAAATTTTTGTGGATGATAATGTGAACAAAGACGCTCCTGCCTTAAGAATGATAACATTTCCGGATGATATTCAAGGATGTGTATCGGATAATCAGGCGTGTGATAAGCTGTCGGGCAAGAAGGATTAATATGTAAATGTAAACAATCGACGAATTTCCCCTCAGTAAAATGCTGACACTGTCAGTATTTATCTGATATCAAGTCACTGATATTGAGATAAATATTACTCGCGCACATAGCAAAATTACGTTACGTTTTACCTTCTGGACAAATAGAGAAAAGTTACGTAGTTGAAAACCCACAAGTGTGTAATATTCCCTAATGGTCGAGGCATTACCCCGTAGAGACAATTGCGTTCTTGAATCCAGTTTTTTTTTGACAGTCAAAATTTTTTCAGGCCAGCCTTTACAGTTTCAACGCTACCAGTTCTAGAATTCTTGCATCTAAACCCAGCCGTCCTTTCAATATAACAAATTTTGTTATTGTTTTATTCCCTAATCCGAGTCTTGCGGTCGGGGTTTCGCTTTTAGTTTCCATTTCGGCTTCAAGAATCGTCCGGGCGAGGCGACGAGGACCAGTCTGAGCGTTGCCGACCGGGTCGTGATTTTAGTTGTAAATCAAGTACAGTAGTTGTCTTGACTCCTTAAAGCATTAGGAAAGAGATTATTATACCATCGTCCATCAAATAAATGCTGAGACAGTCTAAAATATACATGAAATTTCTCATCACCTATAAGTTATTTGCTTAAAGTAACGTATTTGCCCTAGATCTTTCGTTTTATTATGTTTAAAGCATTTGCTTTTATCCATAATAGCTTTCTGTTATTCATGTATAAGCGAAGCGATCACAGTTAATTC